TTTCCCTTAAATCTTGTTCCCTGGTGTTTTATATACTCTACTAAATTGCTAGGTATTTTCATGCATCTCACTTGAGATGCAGTCATTTGTTATTTGGTATACAGGATGTTTATTCTAAAAAATATGTTGAGAAGACGCTCAGAACCTAAGTCCTTTTCCCAAAAGGGCTTTTAAGATACTCTTCCATTCCTTTAAAATGTTAGTGTTAAACCAGTCCTTGTGGCTTTAGAGCACCCTTTTCTGCGTATCCCCAGATGAGTTTCACTTCATTCTAGCATCTTCTGTGAATCCTATATCTACTACCTTCTCATTTCCAAAGACTGTTCTAGCTTTGAACTTGGGTAAGTTAAAGCTAGATTTTTCAAAACGTAGGAGCATTGCCTCATCGGGCAGATTGGATCTTTACAAAGAGATTTCCCAGCAGAAGGGCAAGAGCCCTGGTACTGGAGCTCTGACACATCCAGGATTAACTGGTTCCAGTACTGCAGTGACCACTAGGGTCTACAGCAATACAGACTGCTTTGGCACTATTACTATTACAGTTTCTTTATGCCACGTGCCTTATTTTTAACAGTGTTCATACTGAAAGTACCTGGGCAGTCTTAGCTCTGAATTTTTGTATCCCTAAGTGCAGTTTTACAGTATTATGCCATGTGGCATTAAGAGCTTTTCTAGTTACAGAAAAGCCAGAATCTCTGCACGTACTCAGTCACAGTCTGTTGTACTGATGATTAGAAGTCCAAGTCTAGTGATGGGGCTTCATTAGTTTAATTTGCAACAGATGATGAAAAAAAGTTTCAAACCTGGTCCAGAAGGGTACTATATCCAGAGTCCCTGTGCCACTTCCTCCATTTATTGATATGTGGGGGTCAGGTATGTACCAAAATTCCAAGTTTTAGTGAAATAAGTAGAATAACAGGCTGCTTCCAGTTGTACTAATTTGTAAGACTTGCCACTAATCCATATTTGTACCAACAAGGAAAACTGGGAAAACCTTGGTGATTAAAACATAATAGGGATGTCGTGCCACCCAGTTTTCACTTCCACCTCATCCTACCTACTTCTTAGAGCAGCTACAGGCTTTCAGTCCAGATTGCAGTTTATCTCTGTTCTTCCCTAGACCACATACTATGCATTCATAAGATTCCAATTTTTTTTTTTTTTTTTTTGCTTCCAAATGATCAAGACCCTGGGTACATGCTAAAGATTGTTGAAGTTATTGGCTGATTGTGAACACGCATGCATGTTTCCCTGAAAATAGCCTAGTGGGTTTCAAATTAGGTACACAGCTGTATGAAAAGCTGCTTAAACATGAATTAACTGACATTTCAGGTCCATGCATTCTTTGCATTTTGGATAGTAAGGGTAATACTTGATATTTGGATGATAAATTTTGTAAACATTATTCCCTGGTGGAAGTAGTGACACTGAATGTGTCTGTAGCACTTGTGCTGCATGTGATAGTTAAGTGATGAAGATCCTACTGTCACCAACAGAAATGTAAATGAACAAACAATTCAGGGTAATGTGTGTTTTAAGGTATCTTATCCCACAGGTATTTTGTAATCTGTACTCTTGCACTAGAATAGAGACCTGTAACTACTGAATTTTAAGATCTTAAACAAGAATTGGATAGTGCTGAAATCTCCTTCCCCCCACCAAGACCTTAGTTGTGGAAGTTCAAGAAAATTCATTGTGCTTTTACAGTTCAGGAGACTCCAGTCCTGGATGTGCAAAGACACAAGAGCACCACAGAATATTTTAGGACAAGACATTAATCCCACATTAACTTTTTCTTAGTCATTACTGTTTTCTAGCAGTTAATGCTATTTCTCAAACATCTTTTTAGTTCTTTCTTAACTCTTTTGAGACAAATATAGCTATTGAGGTTAGTTGTTTACACAATCTTGTTAAGAAATGCACAGCATTTTGAAAGAAAAGTTGGTTTCTGTTCCTTTTGTGAACTCATGTTAGTTATGGGAATCCTAGTGATTTATTCTGCAGCATTTCAATTCTATTCAATACATTCTTTTACCAGAATGCTGCAAGAAGATCCTGTTTTGTTTCAGCTCTATAAAGACCTTGTTGTGAGCCAAGTAATCAGCGCTGAAGAATTCTGGGCCAACCGTTTAAGTCTGAACGCAGGGGATAATTCTGCAGCACCTGCTAAGCAGGATGTGGGCATCTCTGCAGCATTTCTGGTACGTTCAACCTCTAACTTAAAGGATTTTAGAGCAAACAAATTGGGGAAAGTGAGAGTTCTTCATGTACTTTATTCCCATATACTTTAATGTTTTTCTTTCCTGGTTCTTCAACTTAACATCTCTCCATGTGTTAGTTAGAAAATTGCAAGTGTAAAGGAGAAAAAAAAAAGGTAAAGGTTTTACGCAAATCTGCAACCTCAAAATTTTGTCAATTTAAGGTGCTCAGTTTGAACTTTACATTGACTGTAGGCAGATGTTGAATATACTGCTGCTCTGCCTTCTGGAAAACAGGAATACTGGTGAACTTACAGTCACTGGATTATATAAACTCAGTAAGTTAAAAAGAGTATGTGTTGCAGCACTGACATGCCTAAATGAAGCTGCAAAGACTTCGCACACAAAAGGTTTTATTCCCTCCCCAATTTTTTTAAACCAGTACGTGCTTTCAGCTACTTGAAGAACAACTTGTATATCTGAAAGCTTGTTTTCTCTTTCCCCAGTTTTCCAGTTGTGTTACCCATTTGTAGAAGCCATGCTTCAGTAACCTCAATGCAGTCTAAAAGTAATCTAGGTACAATCTTCAGATCCCTCCCACAGAGACATGTTTCTACTTCTACAACAAAGTTCATACAGATTACGACTCTCTAGCTGGAATCCCATTTCTGCCTTTGTAATGACTGCACACATCAAGGGTTTGGAAGGGAAGGAAGAGGTGGGAGTTGTTTTATGACTTAACTGCTATACAGACTTGTTTTTTCCCCCTAGAAATACCTGAATCAGTTACCAAATGAACTTGATTGCTCTGATTTCCTGTCTCCCGTTATTCTTACACCTTAACATAAAAAAAGCCAAACCCAAACCTTCAAAACTGAAGCTTTCTTAAAATAACTGGTTGTGTTTGTGTTCTCTGCATTTGTGAAGAAGAAAAATTCAGGTATTTGTGTGTCCTAGTTCAAGTTAAAATAATTTATCTGGCTCTGCTCAGAAAGAGTGTTTCTCTAGGAATAAGGTGGTACAAAATCTAGAATTCAGGTGTGCAGGAAAAGGAAGAAAAGAAGGCAGCATATGCAACCACATACTTTTTCCTGTTACTGAGAATTGGACAGAGCGCTTGCTTGCTCCAGAGCTTCCTGAAGAGATCACTGAGATCTAACTTGCAGGTTCTGACTAAGGCTTACCCTCGATTTTTAAATTCAATGTTATTTATCAGTTATACTGAGATGTTTTTGTTGTATAAGGAGATAAGGTGTAACAGCCTTAAAACCTTTTTTGTCACTTCATTATCATCACCGATTATTCACTAGCTGAATTGTTGAATGAAGAACAAAAGATTAGGCGTATATGGCATATACAGTAAATATGCCTATTTTTACTTTGAAACAAGGATATATTAAATTTAAGCATACCTTCTCTTGACTGATGGAGTGGTCTTCACTTTTCATCTTGCAAGGCTTACAGTCTACTTGTTGAATCATCCCTAAGTGGCAAGTATAATAAAGTAATTAATGCATGCTCTTTTATTTCTCATTCTAAAAATACCTATTTATGATCACATATGCTATGGATTATTGGAGGCAGAAGATTACTTTATCTTCAGCAGAATTTGATTGCAAGATGCCAGGTTTTTGTCCCTTCTCCAGTTACAGAAGGCATTCAGACATGACTGTTTTCCCTCCCTGTATGCTTTTTCTTAGGCTGATGTACGGCCTCAAACAGATGGCTGCAATGGTCTGAGGTATAATTTGACTTCAGATATCATTGAATCCATATTTCGAACATATCCTGCAGGTAAGAATAATGCTTTACATAACAAATACATGCATTTAAGATTTTTACGATCTTAGTGTGGAAAAACTAGAATGTTAGTCTGAGCCTGGAAGTATAAAGGACCGTCTCTTCAATCTTCTGGATGATTTTCCCTGCCTCTGGGGGATGGGAAGAAGCATGTGTTAGAACATGCTTTTGAAATTAAAACTTGATTTTGTTAAATGAAAACATTTTAACTTGTTGCATTGACCTTTTTTTTTTTAAATTGTGAATAGATATTTGGTTCCCATGATATTTCCCTATTCAGCATTTCAGTTAATTGTTATTTTCACAAAATCACCTTTGGAAGGAAGAGAATCTGATTTCCATCATGCCCCTGCACTATATTGAACATTGACACTGGTTCATTTTGACCCCCGGTTAAAAGACTAGATCCATTTTGAGAATAACTAGAACTCCAGACCGCTGCTACATGCATTGCTTTTCAAAGCATTAGCTAGCATTGCAGGGCATAAAAGAGTACCTGTTTGCTCGTGCTTAACTACTGCATTCCCTCCCATTTAATCAGCATGAATGAAGGCAGCATTAGACAGAAAGCAAGGAAGCAAGCAAGGAAATTTTAACATAAAATGCCGTATTAAGATTTGCAGAAGAGTTTGTAATCATTATGGGTTTTGTTCACAGTAAAAATGAAATATGCAGAAAATGTTCCACATAACATGACTGAGAGGGAGTTTTGGACGCGATTTTTTCAGTCTCATTATTTCCATCGGGACAGGCTCAATACAGGCTCAAAAGACCTCTTTGCAGAATGTGCCAAACTGGATGAAAAAGGTAAGCTTTTTGACTGTTTCTGCAGTAGGCTGCTACAGTCTTAGCTACATCGCAGAGCATAACATTCAAGAGGTGTATAGATGTATATCTAGTACATCTAGCAAAGCTGAAGTCAAAAGTTTTCTTATGTCCATTTACTGGGCATCTTGTGTGTTGAACTGTAAAGTGTGAAGTTACAGATTGTCACTGTAAGTTAGCTATGGCTTTGCTGTTTTTAGGATGTTTGATAATGAGTGCATTTCTTGAAACAAATTAGCCTTTGGAAAGTGGTAGCACTAGAAATGCTCCTTATTACAACTCAAGCAACAGTACATCTGTGATAAATTTCATAACATGCTACCATGCTAGATTGAGTATGCTCTGCCATCAGTTACTATGGAATGATTTTGTTTACAGAAGGTTTTGTTTTGTGGTATGTGCACAATTTATAACAGGTATAGCTTTTGGTATAGATCAGGTTTTAATAATAGACAAATACGGATCCTGTTTAAGATTTTCCAAAGGAGTTGCCGTACCTGCTCCTGTCAACCTTTTTACTGTGAAATCTTAAAATATTATCTGACTTAAGTTTTTATTGAACTTTTGAGGTAGGTTTGTGATGATACAGAAATGTGGAGAATTAAGATAACACCATTCCTTAATACGTATTCTGACTAATGAAAGCATTCTATTAGGAATTCACAAGCCTTCACAAGTAAAAGCTATCACCAGATATAAATTAATATTCTACCTAGGACAGGGCAGCAAAATGGTGCTGAAATTAGAAGAAACACACAATTAAGGCTTTCCAGTTCCCACTAATACAACTGCATCTTCAATTTTTTTTACCAAACAGTATTCAGTGATGTGTAGAAGTTGATAAAAACTGCACTAATTAATAGGATGGTCTTTTACAATAACTTTCCAAGTTTATTGCTTATTTTAAATGGAACTTTGAAAAGGGTTGAAGGTTTTAGTCACAGTGATACTTGGGCACCTGCAGAACCTTTTAAAGGTTAAATATAATCTAATAAGCCTACAATTATTTGGTTGATACATTTTCTCATGTTTTTTTCTTTGTTTCATACAGGGTTAAAAACAATGGTGTCTCAAGGAGTAAAAAACCCTCTGATAGATTTAACGGCTTTGGAAGATAAAACATTAGATGAAGTAAGTAGTTGGCAAAAAAAAACCCACTCCCCCCCAGTTTAATTTAAGGAGGAAGTGAGTCCTTTTCCTATTAAAATAACTACAAATGGTAATTCTGAAATTCATCACTTAACTAGGCAGCTGCAATGCTTGGGCAGTCAACACTTACCCAGTTATATGTGTGTAAAGAAATGAAGACCGTGCCTGTGGACCTGTATATCTGCCTTAGTGTGCTGGGACTTCCCTTTTTTGAAGTTATTCTTTCACTTGGATGGCTTTTTTGTCTAAAGTGGACTATCTGGTTTCTTCCTACCTTTTGGAAGCTGTGACAATGTACAGAAGAGTAGCACAAACTAGGAAAAAGTCTTTGCATTTGTTCTCGCTTTGTACATTGCTATTTGTTTGATTCAGCTTAATTTTAAGGACACTTCATTCAGTTTTCTTTGTTTAGCTTTAAATACCTTGTTTTGCTAAAAATATGACTAACTTAAACTATTGCCTGCCTCTAAGCACAAATTAAAAGAGTTGTTATAAATGCTGTACTGTAATGTGAAATAACTTAAAGATGCACTTTTCTGCAGTTGAATTAATGTAAACTTTTGAGTTGTAATTAATAATGATGCATTTCGAAGTTAGTGGAGGTTTTTTTGTAAAAGTTGCACAAAGCTACCAGTCTGAATCTGGACTAGGAGTTTAGGGTAGGTATGTTTGAAGTGCTGTGCAAACTGCCCTGGTTTGCTTTTGAGGCTGGTTAAGGGCAAGCATGAAACTGAGCCTGGGGTAAAGTGAGTTGCCTTCAGCCACTATCTAAGAATTTTTTTTCTTCTCTCAGACACTTCTAAACAGAATAAAATAGTCTGTGGAGACTTTTAAAAGTACATAAAGTGATGGTGGGGGGAGGGTAGGAAAATACTGCTTCAGATGATGATGCAGTACCACTCAGTGAAGTTAAGAGGAGGTGGCACACAGGCTTCCTGACTCAATGGAAAACAGAGAATTGTCCTTCTGGTTTTGCAGCAGGAGGTAGCTAATGTTGTTTTCTTTGTAGGGCTATGGTGTTGCTTCTGTGGCCTCTACATCAAATGCCTCAAAATCCGCTAGAGAAAGTAGCAATGCTGCCATTATAAAACGCTTTAATCATCATAGTGCCATGGTCCTTGCAGCTGGCCTCAGGAAACAGTAAGTTTCAATGTTGTGTAATTTTAAGGAATTTCTAAAATGAAAATACATCTTCAATTACTCATACAACCTTTTCTTTTAATTTTTATGAATGAAGCATTTTGCTCTAGAAATGAAAATAACTTTAGGTTCCATTTTACTTTATAAAAGTTCTTCAGAGCTGTCTGAGATGGCAAATGGTATTTTTAGCTGAGTTGCTATCATACAAAGCAGATTAAAAAGGAAAGGATGTTTCTGCCTTAGTTCTCTAGCCCTAGTGAAGGCTGCAGAAGTAGTATTCTGTTTGCTGTGCGGAGGTGAGGTCTGGTGCAGGGAATTCCTATTGCCTGCCTTCCAGGAGCTGGTCTGCCGGGGCTTCCTCTAGTGGGGTGCGTGGACATAAGTAAATGAGGAAGCAAAAGAACAGCGTGGCGTGGGTGGATCAGATGAAAGATTGCTCCAGTGCAGTACCCTGCCCCAACCAAAAAAATGTATCAGCTGGTTACATATACACCTACAGTAACCTTAACAAATGAAACCTCTTAAAAAAGGCATGAAATGGGTTTGATGTGAAGTCTGCTTTTACAACTGGTTTATGGACCAACCGCTCTACCCCAATCTTACAGACCCTACCTTTGAGAGATCTTAATTAAATACTTTCTTCCGTGTAGCTGTGCTCCCTCATGTTCTTCTGTCTTGCACAAATTGAACAGTGGACCTTAAACAGTGTCTTCTACGTAATGTATATTTCTGTTTCTCAGTTCAGAAAGAGGCAAAACAATAGGCCTCATTCTGAAACAGTAGTGTCTCCCAGAGCTCTGCTAATACCTGGTTGGCATAAGCATGTATGCGAAGTGTTTCTAATTTAGGCGTGATTTTGCTGTGTCCCACTTGCATTGTGGGCATGCTATTTCTGAAGAGAGGGAGAAGCACCCTCCCCTGCTGTTGAATTTCCTTCTTGACAAACAGGGTTATTTGAGGATTCTTCTATCTAGATCAACTTCTAGAAATGAAGACATAAGGGGAAAACAGTTGATATACAGTATATGAACATGCATATAAAATTTTTGAAACGGATGTATTTACTTTGTCTCTAGCCTGTATCTTAAGTTTCCTGTGAGGTGACTTCTTCTTAATGCTGTTTCTCTATTTTAAGAGAAGCACAAAATGACCATTACAGTGAGACCAGCAGTACGGATGGAAACTCCAGGGATTCAGATTTCTTTCAACCACCAATGAAAAAGGTATAAAGTTAGCTGATGCAGTTCGAACTGAATGGAACTGGAAGCTCTGTCTCTCAAAAGATTGCTGAAGGTTCCTTACTTGTTTTCTGATGCATCTGAAGTAATACTGATCTCGCCTTGCTTAGAAGTAAATAGAGTAAGAACCTGAGGGCCTGTAAGAAGCTTTGTATCTCTGTTAGTAAACACAAATAAATCACACCTTAAAGTATAGTTCTGTTTATCTCTTCAGTAGTGCCCAATGAAAGTAAAAAATTTCCAACATGCTTCTGATTGGACCCAGAAATCTGGTTCTTTCCATGCAGTACAGTTCTATTTTTGTGGCGCACCCCCCCCTTTTTTTCTTCCAAGTGCTTGAAAACTTCTAGAGAACATCCATCTGAAAGGGGTGTTGGTGTTCAAGCACCAGTGTTAACCTATCGAGTGCCCTGTTTGTAGAGGGGGTGATTAAACTGGCACATGGCAGCCTTCACCTTAAGGTCAGAAGCTGAAGTGAGGTTAAACTGAAAGCGTGGTGACCTGGTGCACTGAAATACAGGACAACAGCCTGT